ATCCATTTTTAAAGTTTGTTCATGACCCTTTCATATATTTGTGTGACCCATTGGTTGAGAAATACTGGTATAGAGGTCAGTTTGTGAAGACTTCTTCACTTTTATAAAATATGTACAAGCACACGTACTATATCATATGAAATGTTTACTATGAAATAATTCAATTTCTTGTTTTAAATTATGCTTGCAGAATAAAACCAAGTACATTTTGTGATGCAATAGAATGTTAGTCTGTTCATTAAATTTGGTAGTTTCACCTGGGTTTTCTGTGCATGGCTCCCTGTGATGAGACCCGAGGAGGAATGTATCGCATTCAAAAGCTTGTCTAATTTTATCCTAACTACATAGTTTGTCCAATAACAGATAACGCCTTAAATCCTTGTCTCCTGGGTTTTCCTGAGATTCCTGGGAGTATAGGCATACCTCGTTTTATTGCGCTTAGCTTTATTGCGCTTTGCAGATACTGCGTTTTTTACAAATTGAGGCAAGACCCTCCACCAGCAAAAAGATTATGACTTGTTGAAGGCTCAGATGATGGTTAGCATTTTTTAGCAGTATTTTTTAATTAAGGTATGTACATTGTTTTTTTTAGACATAATGCTATTGCACACTTAATAGACTACAGTATAGTGTAAACATAACTTTTATATGCACTGGGAAACCAAAAACTGTGTGAGACTCGCTTTATTGTGATATTCGCTGTATTGCGGTGGTCTGGAACTGAACCCGCAATATCTCCGGGGTATGCCTGTATTCGTGACTATGAGAGTCACAGTGAAAATAGAACCTTTTGATGCTATCTATGGTACAAATCGATGGTATAAAAAGGGTAAGCAAGTAACATGGTTCAAATACGTTTCATGGATATGACAGGCTGATGATGGTATATGCTAGAAGTGAAAGATAGAAGAAAAATTTTGACTTTCAAAAGGGAAAGTTCCAAATTTTCTTTTGTCATTTAGGATGTCAGGTTTCAGTAATAATTGCTAATAGGGATTTTTGGCTGAGCACAGAAAGTGAAACATTTCCCATTAGCCAGAGCTGGCAGGACATCTGATCCTACCTGTTAATCTTTAACCAGTTGAGTTAATTTTTTTCATTCTTGCTGTCTGCCTGGGTGAATCTTTGTGGCAAGATTCAGCAAAAGCAGGTTAGCTGTTTCTGAGAACAAAGGAAGAAAGAGTAGTT